ACCTCCAGAATAATAATAACCACAACAAGGCCACACCTCTTTAGTCTAGTGACTAAGCAATGAAAAATATGAGCCCATAGGAGGTCTCACATTCACATTCCAACCACCAATTACGAGAGAGAGAGAGAGAGAGAGAGAGAGAGAGAGACTGACTGGAAATGGTTTGGGAAACCTCAAAACTCACCCCCAGTGACATACCTCCCCTAAGGAGGCCACATTTTCTAATCCTTCCCAAACAGTTCCATTTTCTGGTAACTAAGCATTCAAATGTATTTGCCTATGGGGGCCATTCTCTTTCAAACCACCACACAGGGTGTGTTAGGGTTTTCTAGAAGAGTGACACTTATACACTGAGTCTGTCTCTATCTATCTATCTATCTATCTATCTATCTATCTATCTATCTATCAAGGGCAAATTAGTGATAGGATAAAAATTGTGAGCAAGGAGTAATAGCCTATGTCAAGATGGACCACTGAGAAACTATGCCAGGCAACACATCTGATGTAAGAAGTTTACTGGGGGAGGGGAGAGTGAAAGGCGTCTCAGAATTGGGAGAGAGAGAGAGGCTGATAGACATGGAGACAGAGAGGAGGAATAGGAAAGAAGGCCCTAGAGACAGGAATGAGAGAGGGCAGAGAGAGAGGGATACAAGGACATAGGGAGAGATCTGGGGTGGCTGGGGGCCATTTTATCAACAGTACATGCCTGGCTCACCTGGTGGTGGCAGGTGATGATGCTAGGCCCCTGAGAGCAGGTCAGGAATGCCTGTATGCTAATGTGAGAGTCCAAAGATGGCTGAAAGAAGACCCCAGACTCAGATACTATTAAGACAAAGCATGCTTATTCTGCAGAAACATCCAGCATGTGGGGGTCAACCATTCTTTAAAATGGCCACCCCAGACAAAGGCACTCAGGCCTTCTTATAGAAAAACAGGGAAAACTCTTTAGAAATATTAGATAATCTAAAATTTCATTGGTGGCCGGGCGGTGGTGGCGCATGCCTTTAATCCCAGCACTTGGGAGGCAGAGGCAGGAGGATTTCTGAGTTGGAGGCCAGCCTGGTCTACAGAGTGAGTTCCAGGACAGCCAGGGCTATACAGAGAAACCCTGTCTCGAAAAACAAACAAACAAAAAAATTTCATTTGTGAGTACTGAGGAGGAGGTCACAGGTAGTCAGTCAGTGGTCTGCATTCCTATCTTTTGAATGTTTAACCATAGGATGAAATAGGGCTGCCCAGCACAGATGGCCCATTCTGAGATAAGATATTTCCTCATTTTTTGGTTACCTCCAGGTTGTTCTTTGGGAGGGGGTTTTATGACCTTGTTTATGGTCTGTTCCTGGAGCTGGTGCCTATGGCCTTCTTTTCAAAATCAGGCCAGGTCCTTAAATGGAGACAGATGATGCTTATGTTGTCCTTTCACTAACAATTAGAATGGCTTACAGGCTGTGGTCCTGCCAGACAAACAATGTCTGCCTACCAAAGGAAGGTCCAAGAAGACAGTGGTTGTTCAGTCCACGAGGCTGCAAGTCTCAGCTGATCTTCAGTACCTGCCAGAATCCCAAAGCAGGTGCTAATGCCAGGGAAGAATGGACTTGCCAGCAAGAGCAAACAGCAAGTAGGCAAAGAGGGCAGTGTCCTCTGTGTCCTTTATATAGACTGCCACAGATGGGTGGCCTGGACTAAAGGTGGGTCTTTCCACCTCAGTGTTTGGACCTAGGGACAAGGGACTGAGGTACATATTTTACATACCAAACCAGACCTGTCCTCCAGGTTCTCCCAGCATCCCTTGGTCCTGACCTGACCTCCAGGTTCTCCCAGCATCCCTTGGTCCTGACCTGTCCTCCAGGTTCTCCCAGCATCCCTTGGTCCTAAGCTGTCTTCCAGGTTCTCCCAGCATCCCTCAGTCTTGAACTGACCTCCAGGTTCTCCCAGCATCCCTTGGTCCTGACCTGGCATACCCTGCTCCTAATCCTGAACTTCCCAGCCCACGGGCTGGGCTGCCCTTCCCTAGAGGCTCCTCCTTATATAATCCAGACATATTGATCTCTCCTTCTCTCCTTCTTTCCCTCTCTCTGCCCACACACTCTTTCTCTCTTTCTCCTCCCATTCCCCTCTCTCTCCCTCCTCATGGCAATAAATCTGCCTTTGTATATGTTAATCTGGCTTGAGGTGGATCATTTTACCTGCAGACAATGTGTCACTCAGAGGATCTAGAATAAAAGTGGGTCTTCCCACTTCAAATGACGTAATCAAGAAAAAAAAATCTCTCACAGACCACTTGAGGTTTAGTTAAGTCCAAGTGTCGTCAAGTTGATCACCAAAAATAGCCATCACACAAGCTAGCCTGAAGCTCACTATGTAAACCAGGCCGTCCTTGAATTCACTATCCCCTACTTGCCTCAAGTACGCTGGGGTTGAAGGAGTATGCCGCCATGCTAGCTAGGCCTGAAGTAACTCTTAGGAGAGGAAACAATAGGTAATGTTCTAATCTTTGGAGCAGATCAGAATGTTGTCTCCACCCCAAGCAGTAAGCTTAAGGAACAGTGACAGTGGATGTTTATCTTCCTAGCGTTGCCTAAGAAACAGGAGGTGGGGTCCAAAGCTGACCTGAAGGGAGGGGTCCATCCTCAGCGGCCTCTAAGGTTACACTACCACGACAGTGTCTTAAAGACATCACTGTGGGGGGGCTAGTGTCATGGCCCACGCACGCGAGGGGACACTTTTTCAAGCCTTGTAATGCACATGTCCTGCTGAGGTTTGGGCTGAATTGAGCTGTGACTGAAGAAGAGGGGGTAGGGGCTCCCTTTCTGCCACCCGCTGAGAGCTGGGAGGAGCTGCAGAGGCCCAACAGGTCAGACCACTTTGAAAACTGCAGGGCAGGAACCAGGAGAGGAGTGGACCAAAAGGCAGAGCAAAGGCTGGATCTGGAAAGGGAACGGCAATCAAGACGTTGATCATGAAGCTGCTGCCCAGCTGGAGAGCGGTGCTACCTGTGGGCCCTTGGCCTGGCCTGTGCCCCTGTATCCCAGCCCGGCCATGGGCACAGCATCCCAGAAGTAGGTAGCCTCTGGGGTGGTTGGGGTCTACACTAAGCAGAGGGGAGCAGGTGCCGAACCCAGGCCAGCTCTTTTTTTTTTTTCGAGACAGGGTTTCTCTGTGTAGCCCTGGCTGTCCTGGAACTTACTCTGTAGACCAGGCTGGCCTCGAACTCAGAAATCCGCCCGCCTCTGCCTCCCAAGTGCTGGGATTAAAGGCGTGCGCCACCACTGCCCGGCTGGGTGTTTCTATTATGTTATCTGAGGATCTTACTATATAGCTTTGACCTGGAACTCATTCTGTAGACAAGGTTGGCCTCACCTCAAAATCATAGAAATTTGCGTGTCTCTGCTTCCTGGGTGCCAGATTTTAAAGGCATGAGCTACTAAGATAGGGTCTTATGCAGCCAAGAATTTTGGAGGCTGGTCTTAAATACCCTATCTTCTTGCCTGCACCTTCCTTTACTGGATCACAGGCATATGTTATCATACCTAGCTTTTATTAGTTTAAAAAATTAATAAATTATATTTAGTGTGTGTGCTCGAGCATGCGTAATGAAGAAGTGTGTGCGGGGTGCAACTTGTGAGAGTCAGTTTTCTTCGACCATGTGGGTCTTGGGGAGAAGATGGAACTTAGATCATCAGGTTTGGCAGCAAGTGCCTTTTCCTGCAGAGCTATCTTGCCAGCCCCCAATTTTATTTATTTATTATTAGTTTATGTGTATATACACATGTATGCGCGAACATGTGTGTGTGTGTGTGTCTGTCTGTCTGTCTGTCTATCTGTCTGTCTGCCTGCATTTGTGTCTGTGTTGTTTGAGTTTGGGTGTTTTGCCAAAGGGATACATATGGAAGTCAGAAGACAACCTATGGAAGTCAGCTCTCTCCCTCAGGTCCCAGAGGTTAATCCCAGGTCACTGGCTTGGTGGTCTATGCCTTTACCTAAGGAGCCATCCAGCTGGCCCTTCCCTGTTACTTTTCAGACAGAGTTTTGCCATGTTGGGTTTTTTTTTTTCCGAGACAGGGTTTCTATGTATAACCCTGGCTGTCCTGGAACTCACTCTGTAGACCAGACTGGCCTCGAACTCAGAAATCTGCCTGCCTCTGCCTCCCAAGTGCTGGGATTAAAGGCGTGTGCCACCACTGCCCAGCTTGGGTATTCTTTTTAAGTGCATAGTCCAGGCTTGCCTAGATGGAAATCATTATGTAGGCCAGGCTGGGCTTGAACTCATTAGGATCTGCCTGTCTCAGCCTCCTGAGGACAGGGGCAACAGGCATTAGCCACTAGCTAGCTACAACAACATTCTTAATGCTTTTGCAACAAGAAGCCTCTTTCATTTTCACAGGGTCCCCCAAACTGAGTAGTTCATCCTGGCTAATATTCTCATCCTGACACAGCACTAGGGGCGGGGGCCTATCTGTGGATGCCTCAGGAATCCTCTGTGGTGAAAGAAGGCAGTGAGAGGTGCCGACACCAAGGTGAATTCCGCCTTGGTTTTGACCCTCACTTCCTGTCTGACCTTGGTCTTATCACTAAGTCTTTTTCTTTCAGCAGCGAAAGAGTTAACACATGCAGCCCCAGAGGGTACATGTGACAGTGCATATACAAATACAGGTAATGGCATCTGATCCTATCCCTGAAGAGCAGCGATGATGATAAGATAAACTTCCATTAATAAATGTAGAGGGTTTTGAGAGCGGGCGATGATGAGTCATGCCCTCTCCCTCTCCTCGCATGTCATCCCTAGACTGTCCCCTCTTCACCCTGTAGACTCTGGACCTCCCTAGGGAAACAAGAACAGGCCTGGTGCCAGGCTCGGATGTGGGTAGGATAGAGAATGCTCAGCAGGTAAATGTGCTCCTTGCTTGGGTGGCCTTTACCACAGGAGCCAGAGTTAATACCTCACCTCTGCCCAGTCCCCTTTCGCAATCTGGAGCTATGGCCCTGGTTACAGATTGACTTCGAACAATGCCTGATGAGTGGACTAAAGTCCTCCTTGGCCTTGGTGAAGCCCTCTTCTTTTCTCTTCAGAGGTTTCTCAAACCTGTGCCTCCAAGATGAAAGCTCAGGAGGACCCCGGGAGCCCAAAGCAGGTGCTGGGGGAATAGTGGAGCTGGGAGCTGGGCAGGGGGCATGGCAGGTGGGGGCTGGGCCTGTGCTGGCCTTTCTGGGAGGGCAAAGACAACATTGCTAATGAACTTGACAAAAAGTGACAGTCCTGAGCTGCAAGTGGCACTGGGGGTGGGGGAGTGGGGTGGAGGGAAGGGGTAAAGGAGCCTTAGGTTTAGGGGCTAGCTGACTTGGGCTTCGAAGTCAGTAGTGGCTGGGCCTCCTCTCCCTGTGACACCTTCAAGGACATCTAGGAGGTAGTGGTGGGACAGGAGGGTGTAGACCTGCCCAGTCTGATTCCATTTTGGTCTGATATCTTCCCAGTTTTTGACTTAGGGGCTTCCCTAGAAAGCCTGAGATCTAAGGGCTCTGGAAGCCAGGACACAGCTTTTATTCCTGCAGCAGGGCGTGGAAAGAAGGAAGGATCACTGAGAACCAGCTAGGGAGGGTGGCTGCCGCAGCCCGCCCTCACTGAGGTTCTGGGAGGCCATTGGTCCCTTAGTCCAGGCAGCACAGGCTTTGCCCGGTCATCATTCTGCCCTGAGCCGAGGCTCCCCCTTGTCCTGAGCAGCATGAGGTCCTGGACTCAGCAGAGACTTCCAGCAGGGACCAGCAGGCATCTTTGCCCACGGAGCCCAAGTTTGACATGCTGTACAAGATTGAGGACGTGCCACCCTGGTACCTGTGCATCCTGCTGGGCTTCCAGGTGGGTGAAGTACCTATATGAAGTACTCCCCTGGCATCCCAAATCGCCTCTGGTCAGCGAGGTCACTTCAGGCTAGAGAAGGAGACAAGGTCAGCACAATGACGGTCACCGAACAGCTGTGCCAAGGAAGGTTAAGTGGCCTGGGAGGATTGTGGGTAACATGACAGACGGGAAGGGCCCATCTACAGAACCATAGGAATAATCTGGGGGTGGGGGAGATGGAGCCCCTGAGTGGTGAGCTCTCTGGGAATCCCTTGTCGGGTGTGGTGGGTCATTGTAAGTAAGCACCCTGTCAGTGTGGTCCAGGTTCAGGACACAGACCCCGGTGCCCATTTCCATGAGAGTGTTGTGGGGCCACCTCTCCACCGTCTCTCACTGCAGCATTACCTCACATGCTTCAGTGGCACCATCGCCGTGCCCTTCCTCCTGGCGGAGGCGCTGTGTGTGGGCCGTGACCAGCACATGGTCAGTCAGCTCATTGGTACCATCTTCACCTGCGTGGGTATCACCACTCTCATCCAGACTACAGTGGGCATCCGGTGAGCGGCCTTTCCCTCCCCGGCTCATGAGCACACGCACTTGCACGTGTGCACGCCGCAGGACAGGTGGTCTGAGACTGGCTCCTAGGAGGCCTCAAGTCCCCTCCTCTCACTCTACTCCAAAAGTTTAGGAGTACTGTTTCCCTGCCCCACTGCCCACTCCTGAGAGCAGGTTTTCAGCGTCTGTATGTGGACCTGGGCGATCCCTAGTCTCAGATGAACAAGCCAAGTCTGGTTGGCTCAGTGGTGGTGGATGGGAACAGTCACGAGCAGCCCTCAGATTCAGAGATGGAGCAGTCCGCTTTTGAGCAGATGGCTCTTCTGGGCGCTGAGATGGAGGGCTGAAGGCAAAGCACAGGGTTTGAACTGGAGGGGCCCTGAAAATGTGCGGGAGGGAGTCCACGTGAGGGCTCAGGAACTTCCCTTTCTCTGTCCCTTCCTTCAACCCTCGCTTTCTATACTTTTTCCTCAACTCACCACCGCTGCTACCGTGGGCCGTCTTCCAGGCTGCCACTGTTCCAGGCCAGTGCCTTTGCCTTTCTGGTTCCGGCCAAGTCTATCCTGGCCTTGGAGAGGTGGAAGTGTCCTCCAGAAGGTGGGTTCAGTTTTGGCGTCTGCACTGAAGGAGAGGTCTTGGAGGTCTGGGCAGCTTCCCAGAGTCTAGCACCAGGGTGTGTTCATGGCATTGTGTTCTCTCCATCTTGGTCCCCAGAGGAGATCTATGGTAACTGGAGTATGCCCCTGAACACCTCTCATATCTGGCATCCTCGGATTCGGGAGGTGGGTAAAGAGACTGGGTTTGAAGGAAGGGCTAAATGGGCAGGGCAGGGCAGGCCATTGCTGAGCTGTGTTTAAGGAGGTGGTTGAGGAGTTTACGTTTTGGTAATGGCCAGGTCAAAGTGACTATAGCTCATTTTGCCTTTTTTAGGTCCAGGGTGCAATCATGGTATCCAGCACGGTGGAGGTGCTGATTGGGCTAATGGGGCTGCCTGGGGCCCTGCTCAGCTACATTGGACCTCTCACAGTCACCCCTACTGTTTCCCTTATTGGCCTCTCTGTTTTCCAAGCTGCTGGTGACCGAGCTGGCTCCCATTGGGGCATTTCGGCTTGGTGAGCAGACAACAGGACTACTTCTGCCCAATCCTAGGCGCTACCCCACATCCCCTTCATCCCTGCCCCCTCATCTATTTCCAGGCCCCAACCTGGCCCACCAACTGTTTCCTTCTGGTCTCTGCCTGCAGCTCCATTCTACTGATCGTTCTGTTCTCCCAGTATCTACGCAACCTCACCTTCCTGCTGCCTGTTTACCGATGGGGCAAGGGTCTCACTCTCTTCCGCATCCAGATCTTTAAGATGTTTCCGGTAAGAAGCTTACAGGTGCTGTGAAAAGGGGCAAGACCTGAGCCAGGGAAGGTCCAGGCAAGGGTGGGGGTTCCCACCAGAGGCTAGGAGTCAGCCAGGGCTCTGGGGCTGACACAGAAGCAGGCGAATCTGCACCAAGGTCTCCAGTGCCTGCAGCACCTCATCACCCCACCTGCTCCAGATCGTGCTGGCCATAATGACCGTGTGGCTGCTCTGCTATGTGCTGACCCTGACAGACGTGCTGCCTGCAGATCCCACAGTCTATGGCTTCCAGGCTCGAACTGATGCCCGAGGGGACATCATGGCTATCTCTCCCTGGATCCGAATCCCCTACCCATGTAAGCAAGCCTGTTCTGTTCCTTCTGCTTCCAACTGAAATTCCTATGACACACCTGGTGTCTGGGTTCAGCTGACAAAGCAGCATTAGCCCTGTTTGTGGATGTCCCTGAATGGTGGTTTACATCCAAATCTTATTCTGGACAAGTGTATCAGTGAGACTCCTCACCATGGCCCCCCATCAGCTCCTCTCTCTTCCTCCTCCTCCTCCTTTTCCTCCTCATCTTCTTTTTTTTTTTTTGTTTTTTTGAGACAGGGTTTCTCTGCATAGCCCTGGCTGTCCTGGAACTCACTCTGTAGACCAGGCTGGCCTTGAACTCAGAAATCCGCCTGCCTCTGCCTCCCAAGTGCTGAGGTTAAAGGTTTGCGCCACCACTGCCCAGCCTTTCTTTTCTTTTTAAAATTTATTTATATATTATTCTTTTTTTTTTTTTAATGCAGGAGTACTCTTTCTGCATGTACACCTACATGCCAGAAGAGGGCATCAGATTCCTTTATAGATGGTCGTGAGCCAGCAAGTGGTTGCTGGGTGTTGAACTCAGGATCATCTGGAAGTTCAGCCAGTGTTCTCAGCTGCTGAGCCATCCTACAGCACCCTCCCCACCCCTGCCACACACACACACACACACACATTCTCTCTTTTCAAATAACCCCATCTATTCCCAAGCCACCACAACCTCCTCAAGAACCTATTATGTTTCCTCCAACCCAGGTCAGTGGGGGCTACCCACAGTGACTGTGGCAGCAGTTCTGGGGATGTTCAGTGCCACACTGGCAGGCATCATTGAGTCCATTGGTGATTACTACGCCTGTGCCCGGTTGGCTGGAGCACCACCCCCTCCAGTACATGCTATCAACAGGTATGCCCACCTCAGTGTCTGGTCTTGAGGAGGAGCCACTATGACAGCAAGACAGGACTGGGTCCCACACTTAATAGGCTTAGGCATGAAAGTCACCCTCACCTCTAGCCCTCATCTGGAGTATGGAATGAGAATTACACATTCTGTAAATGCTGGGAACCGCCGAGGAGGTTAGTCCCAAGGAAACCAGTTATTGACAACTCTCTGTGTACCCAGTTCATGTGCATTCTTATTCAGTGGCTAACCATGCTGTGAGTTTGGCCTCCTCATCATCTTCATGGTACAGAGGGGGAACCAAAACTCAGAATAGTCCAAGGGAGTGAGCACTGGAGCTCTGAGTGCTAGTACTGACACTTGGCTTCCAGTCTCTTGATGGTACCAGCCTGTACAGCTTCAGAGGGGCATGTAGTGGACCAAGGTATGATAGACTGGTAAAGAGGCGGGGCCAACACCCCACTCAACATTTCTTTACAGGGGGATTTTCACTGAAGGCATCTGCTGCATTATCGCTGGGCTACTGGGCACAGGCAACGGGTCCACCTCATCCAGCCCCAACATTGGGGTCCTAGGGATTACCAAGGTGCCACATGCCACTTGCCAGAGCAGCACAATACTGTTCATGTGTTGCAGGCCCTGTTCTAAGCCATCTTGGCTTTGGCCTCGCCCCATCCTGTCTTTGAGAGCATTCCATCTTTATCCTACCCCCTCCTAATGCTGGAGTCCATTTATATGCCTAATACCCTGCCCCCTGGAACTAGCCCTGCCTCTGGGCCTAGCCAGCCCCTGGCCTTCTGCAGGTGGGCAGCCGAAGAGTCGTGCAGTACGGTGCAGGTATCATGCTAATCCTCGGTGCCATTGGCAAATTCACAGCTCTCTTCGCCTCGCTGCCAGACCCCATCCTGGGAGGAATGTTTTGCACTCTTTTTGGTGAGTGTTTGATGCTTCCCCAGGGGGAGTGACAGGACCTGGTCTAGCCAGGCTGAGCCTCTAGCAGTTCTGCTGTGGTAGGTATGATCACCGCTGTGGGATTGTCCAATCTGCAGTTTGTGGACATGAACTCCTCCCGCAACCTCTTTGTACTGGGATTCTCCATGTTCTTTGGCCTCACACTACCCAACTACCTGGATTCTAATCCTGGTGCTATCAACACAGGTACCTTTTGTTCTATCTCCAGAGATGGGGGAATGTGGGTTGGAAACCACTTTAGTGACACAGCACTTCCCTAGTACCAGCAAGTGAGGCTGGACTATAAGAGCCTAGCTACTGAGTTGTTTAATATATTCATTTCACTTTCCTAAGAGTTCCATGAGACTCTATTATTACCTCTGTTTTCCAGAGGAACGAGGCTAAGTGATTTATTTGTCCTAAGTCAACAACTAGCAGCAGTCACAAGTTTCTCTCCAAAGATGGGAGAAGCAGAGGTACAGACAGGCTTGGAGATCTGGTTTTGGAATATCCCATGGCCATGGCAGTTTATAAGAAGTCAGTGGACCACACAGGTGGGCCCACTTGATCTCTGCTTTCCAGAAAAGGCCACTAGCCCTCTGGCCCCCGACTTATTCCACAGGCATTCCTGAAGTGGATCAGATCCTAACTGTGCTGCTGACCACAGAGATGTTTGTTGGTGGGTGCCTTGCTTTCATACTGGACAACACAGTGCCAGGTACTGGGTCAGCTCTGGGGGGCAGCCATACTATTATCATGTATACTCTCATGATGGTTTGGTTCCTAAGATTGGGCCAGGCCTGGTGCCATGCAGGCCAGTGCACAGAATAGGCTGGAGGAATGTCTGCTGGCTGGAGGCACAACCTATCACCTAGGTCTTGAAAAAGGGTGATGTCGAGAGAGCTCTCTGATTTTGGGAGTCCTTGACTCTCCACCAACTCCTTATCACCACCAGGCTGAGAACATCTTTATCTTCATAGAGCTGGATACGTAAAAATGGTTTGTGGGAGAAAAGCTATTAAGAATGGTAGCAGCCTGCTGCACAAATAGAAGAGGCCCCAAAATGAACTTTGGATGCCGAAGTTTTTTTTTTTTTTTTTTTTTTTGCAAAGATTGTGGAAATGTGACAGTCCAGTATGCATATGCCCAGAAAATATAGTTTAAACACTGACAGCCATCAGATCTCAGTCAGGAGTAGGGTGTCTCATCCTTAAACCCAACAAGCAAAGTAGTTGCCCAAACTGGAGGTACTAGACTTAATCCCATGTTGAAACAAAGCAACAAAAATTGACTGCAAAGTCATAAAGTAACATTAAACTGCCAATCTAAAACAGCATGTATCCTAGCCATTGTACCACACTGCCTCTGCAGATGGGTTTGGGGAAACCGGGTGGGCAAAGCTTAATGAAGAGTGCAGTCACAGTCATTACCCACGTTTGAGACATGGCAGTTCAAGACTGGTTTAAACTTCTCACTCTCATCTTTATCTGCTCAGTGTTGACATTATACCTGCCTCATACCTCAGAGTCAAACGCAGTTTAGGACAAGCTGGTGGAATTTACCAGTTTGGCCCTGAATCAAACTGAGGAGGATGTGCAGAGCTGTTATGAGGAATCCTGGCCACTGGGTTTAAATAACACTTAAGCTGCAGTGTAGGCTGTGGTCATTGTGGATAAGCCAGCTTCCTCCTAGGAGCCTGTTAGCAAGACGGTGCTCTGGGCTAGGCAGGCTTTCCCACTATGGGACATTGGGACCACATGCCAATACTCTTTTCCCTTTCTACTCTTGCCATCCGATTCCTGGTCCAGGCAGGCTCTCCTGATGGCTCTTGCCCTTCTTGCTGAGAGCTTGTGTCTTATTTAGCTGCAGCACTCTGGGCTACTCTTAGCTCTGGCTGCCCTCACTCCTCCTGCTAGGTGAATTATTTCAGTCTTTGCCAGCTCCAGCCCTTCTGAGAACCTGAAGTCTCTGGGAGTCCTCTACCATAGGTACACCCCTACCCCATCATAGATCTCTTGCTTAGCTTGGCTTTCATCCCTACTATAAAAATGGTTTATGTCACAAATGTATAACTGTAACAGTGAATCCTAATACTGATAAAGTATTTCATGGTCTATATCCTTGGGCTGGTGGGATGATTCAGCAGAAAAAGGTATTTGTTGAACCTGATCCAAGTTCAATGCCCAGGGCTTACATGATGGAGCAAGAGAACCTACTTCCTGCGTATATCCTAAGACCTCCTCACTCTCATGGTTCCAATAATTCTAGATAAACAGTAAATGTGATAAAAAAAATTTTTAAAAATATGTCCTTACTCCAAGGTACAACCTGGACACTATTTGGGTCCCATGAACCAAGCACACATTAGCCACATATTCAGATAGTGTAAAATGACTTAGCTTGTTTCTTCACCTTAAAATTCTGTCTATGTACCTCTCAGGGGTGTTCAGAAATAATCAAATTATTTAGCACAGGACCTGATGCTGTAGTTACACAGTACTCAACCTTTGAAGGTTTCTCAGAGCTCTAGCAAGTAAGGTATCCAGAGTGGTAGAGTGCTTATCTATCATGCAAAACTGCCTTGGGCTCCATTTTGACAATGCAAACTCATACTTGATTCTAGAAATATGCCTTAGGGCTGGTTATGTGTAGGGGAGGTGGCAGAGAGTTTTTACCCTCCTAGATGACCTGTCCTCTTCCAGGGAGCCCAGAAGAAAGAGGCCTGATACAGTGGAAAGCTGGAGCCCACGCCAACAGTGAGACCTCGGCCAGTCTCAAGAGCTATGATTTCCCCTTTGGGATGGGCATGGTAAAAAGGACCACCTTTTTCAGATACGTCCCCATCTGCCCAGTCTTCAGAGGATTTTCTAAAAAGACAGAAAATCAACCTCCAGTTCTAGAAGACACTCCAGACAATATAGAACCTGGGTCTGTGTGTACCAAGGTCTGACACTACCTCTATGAAAGGTAGGATGTGTTACGGTTCTTCTGGGAGGCGGAATAACCAAACAGCTGTTTAAACAAAAAGAAAAATCAAAACTTTCATTTTTGTAATCTGTTACAAGTTTCTTCAAAAGGAGATAGGCTGGCTAAAAAGTCCTTATGTGGATCTGGGTAGAATTCCTTAGCCATGTCATAGTGACAACAGAAATTTCCAACTGTTGTGATGGTCACAAGTAAGCTGATCAATCCTACCAGATTCAGAGAGCATCTAGACCAACTAGAGTCTAAGAACAGTCACCTCTAGCCTGGGTCCTTGTATTTCTGTAATTAATATATATCTCAAGTACTGGCATTAGCACGATCAGCTCACCGTCTGCCAATGCACGATCCTTCTATTCATAGCCTCTCTCAAAGTGAAGGGATTCAAGTATCTATTGTATGTACATTATTGCACATCATGTGCTTGTCTGGTGCCCACAGAGCTCAGAAGCAAGCATAGGATCCCCTGGAACTGAAGTTACGGATGGTTGTGAACGCCCATGTGGGTGCTAGAAAACCAAACCTGGTTCCTTTGCCAGAGCAACACGTGCTCTTATCTATCGCGCCATCTCTTCAGCCTTCCAATGCAGGGATTTATAGGTGTGTATTACCGTTACCACACCTAAGTAGTCTCTCTGAGACTGGAAAGGTTGGAAACACCAGCAGTACTATAAACAGCAGAGATCCTTCCATATTATTTTGTTTCAATGTTAGTAGTCATAAAATTAAAATCACTTACAATTCAGTTACAAAAAATATGCTAATACAAGCCTATAAGGGGGTGATCTTTAAGCTTCAAAACATGGGGGCAGCTCTGAATCCTAGTTTTGCTGAGAATGCAGACACCTGGCTCGAGTTAATTCAAATATTTTCCCCCTCAAACAAGAAACAGTCCAGTCAAAGTTGTGAGTGGTGGCTTAACCCTATAACGCCTGCTATAAGGAGTCAGGCAGGAGATGAGATTGAAGCTGGCTTGAGTGGTGCCCCTTGTACACTTGATTCTGAGCAGGTAGAGAACACAGGGACTAAATGTGTTATGTCCACCCTCCCTCCCCAAACAAGTGTCAAGAATGCCTGTCTTTTCCAGAGTTTCTTTAAAAAACTTGCCTGTGGCCAGATGTAGTGGCACACATTTAATCCTAGGACTTGGGAGGCAGAGGCAGGCAGATTTCTGTGATGTGAGGCCAGCCTGGCCTACACAGTGAGCTCCAGGACAGCCAGTGCTATGGAGGGAGACCTTGTTTCAAAAACCAAAACCAAAACCAAACAACAACCAACAGAACCAACTCTTCCAGGGGGTCCCTGGATCAATTCCTGGCAGCTACATGGCAGCTCACAATTGTCTGTTAACTCCAGTCCTAGGGGCTCTGATGTCTTGTTCTGGCCTCTCTGGCTACCAGGCTTGAAAGTGATACACAGACATACTTGTTGACAATAGTCACCCATCTAGTTAAAAAAAAGAAAGAAAGAAAGAAAGAAAATTAAAACACTTGCCTCTTTAGTAGTTTAAGGGAACTGTTTTTAAAAAGACTCTCATTGGCTGCACATGGTGGCATGATCCCAGCAGAGGCAGACAATCAAGGCCAGTCTGGACTACAGAACAAGTTCCAGGACAGTCCGAAGTGCATGTGGCCGACCAGTGAACATGCACTTCTTGGTTAGCATGCATGACATAGCCCCCAAGTTCAACCTCTAGCACGGTGAGCAAAAACCAGACCAAAACAAATAAAAAAACCACCTTAAACCTTTTCAGAAAGAATGAGTCATACAAAGAACAAGGTAACCCCCAGCACCCAGAAACTTGAGGTAGGAGGGCTCTACGTTCAAAGCTGGCCTTGGGTATGTAGCAATACACCATTCTCAAATACAATAAATGGCTACATGGCCTGTTTCAATCATCAGCTCTATAACATCAAGAAACATCTATGCTCGTACACATACCAAGCAAGTGCTCTCCATTAACAGATATCCCCAGCCCAACCACAGTTTTACACCATGGCTGTCAAACACCGGACAGACACCTGCATGGTTAACGTGGACTGGAGCGCATCCTCCTCAGCATACCTCACACACAGGGCTGCCCACTGCCCACACTAGGCGAGCACCATGCTGGAGTCTGTACCAATAACACAAGCACCAGCTCGGTTCTACTATCATTTATTTTTTTAAATATTTTTGAAAAAATATAATTTTTTTACAATATTTTCAACTTAAACACTATTCACACTGAACACGTATGGCAGCTTAACCTACTCAAATATGAAGTTTAAGAAGCCAAAACTGTTCTAGCTTTGTTAAAAGAAAACTTGTGCTGCAGACTATACTCATGATAGTTAACAAAGCAAGGAAGAGCACCAAAGTCACGCTGCCGTCTTCCGAGTGCTTCAGTTGGACTATGGGCTGGTGTGGGTCCTGTGTTGAATGTCACACAGGATGGCTATGATGCAATCAATCTTCACAAGATGCAAGCCTCAAATTGCATTTCCTCAGGTTTAACACTAGAACTCGGTATTCCTAACATGATAATACACCAGGCAAAAGCCAGACAGACTAGCTCCTATCTGACCCCCATCGTGTAACCTCAGTCAGAGGCATGCTTGTGAAGTTACTTACTTCAAAAGGTAACAGATTTTCTTCAGAAAAGGTTATTTTTGAGGACAAATGCAACTGAGAAGTCTGTTTATCAATCAGAACCTAATTTAAACTTACTTTTTTTTTTTTTTTTTTTTTACAAAGTGTAGACATTAAAGTGTCAACTAACCCTAAGGGACCAGTTTAGTCTCAAAGACAGACAATTCAATGAGATTTGGAGATTTGGAGGTGATTTAATTTGGTTCTTTGTCACAATTGACTGGTGCTTCTTCCGTTGCTGTCTTTACATTAAGCCATGCGGCCAATTCTACTTTCAGTAACTGTGTGACAGCTTCTTACTTAGTAACAGTCTCAGCACTTTTATTAAGCATGCAAGACTAACAAAAACTTTGGCAATGCGAAAGTGTAACACAGTGACGAGAGAGAGCTTTTACAATGGAGTCTTCTAACACTGCCTTCCCAGTGTGGAAACTGTGCTACATCCACCAAAAGCGGCCGGCTGCTCAGACATGTCAGTACTTCACCCCAGGAACAAACTCCTTTGCATTGGGATTGAGATTGCTTTTGACCTGGAAAATAATACATTAAAAAACAAAAACAAAAACAAACAAAAAGGAACAAGTTCATTACAGATGACTGTGAATTCTCAGAGTATTCAGCCTAGACCTTTATGTAAAAATCTTCCAGCAAAGCACAGAAGGTTGGGCTCTAAGGTTCTACCTAACCCCCCAAACTTATAGCAGAGAAAGAATGTCATCTGGCTGGCCACAAACTCACGGAGATCCACCAGCCTGTGTACCTCCCGAATGCTGGGACTGCCGGTGTACACCACCACTTGGTCTCTGTGTCCTATTGTGTCAACTTCTAAAAGCAGGACATGACATTAAGCATGACAAGAAACTCACTAACTTCACTTACACTGTAAGAAATAGCATGAAATAAGGTATTTTTTTCAAGCATGCCTGATGCATAAAAATACTTCCAAACATGTTAAATACATGTTTCCAGTCTGATTAATTGGCATTGTTGGCCATTAGGGAATTTTATTTACTCTATTCACTGAAAACTTGGGGGTTATCTTTCTACAACTGTTGTTTTCTAATTCCCATAGGAGGCACTGTGTGTAACAGGAAAAGAAAACTACACGGGAGACAGAAGACGTGAGGTGGAGATCTCAGCTCTACCTACTCCAAATTCCCATGGAAGCTTGTGACCCCATTTCCGCGTCAGCCCAAGTCTCCAGAGCCCTGCACTACATTCCTCCGTCTCCTCACTTCCTCTTTCCTAAGCATGTGGTCAATGGAGAGGAAGAGCTGGAGATCCTCTACACTGAGAGTTGATAAAGAAGAAACCGGAGAGATTCCAGGGGTAGATGTAGACATGAAGATAGGATTAAAACAAAAAACAAGCCAACCAGCCAAACCAACCCCCCCCAAAAAAAAACCCCAGAATTTAATTCTAATGCTTTATGTTTTAAGACTAAATGTTTATGTTTTAAGACTAAAACATAATATTAAATAACATATTGGACCAATGATTTAGATAGTGTTAGATAAGTATTCTCCCTTCACACAGGGGAAATAAATCTGTACTTTTAGACTAACCTAGTAATAAAAATGTCTACTTAGAATGTTCTAGGCCTGAGCTTGACCTTCAACATTAAATATACAGAAATTAAAAACCCTTAAGAGGAAGAGAAACAAGCATGGTTTAATTGTTTAAAAAAAAAAAAAGCAGATGGTTTAATTGTTTAAAAAAAAAAAAGCAGAATTCTTGAATATATAATCTTCTGGAAGCTAGAGAAGTCTAAAAACGAATTAAAGCAATCTTGATAGATTGAGTAGATTGTCAATAGATTGAGTCAAACAACTCAGTGTCTGTGTTATGGATATATGCAAATCCAGGCTCTACATTAAGCCTTTATTCATCAGAGCATCAGCAGCATGTGAAATGACTAAAGTAGCAATAGGCAAATACGTTCCGAGAGACCGGCTCGTACACCAGTTCAGTTCAGTTCCTGTCATTTACTGAAACGTGTATGCCACAATGCAGATTTTGGTGTTTTCTGTATTGTTCTTTAGCAGCAGAATGTTTTCCAAAACCTTGTTGGGGAGGAGAACTGCAAAGCATCCTTTGGGATGCTGACAGTCTGAGTACTCAAGTTTAGGTGATTATGACGAACAGTTTAGTAAACTAATCCATAATAAATAGAAAGCAATTGAGAAATTCTAGAGCCCAGGAGTCCAGATATTTTTCTTGGTCAAAAAAGTGAACATTCAAAACCAGAAAAAAAACCTGTACTTTCAAACTCTTGTGGAGCATGGTGACATGCTTCTAATTCTAGGTCTTGGCAGTCAGGGGCATAAGGACTGCTCATGTTTGAGGCTAGTCAGGGCTATGCATTGGGTTCCAGCTTGGAACTAGAGTGAAACTCTGTTTCAATCACCCACCCACTTCATAAAACAAAAAAGTCTTTTTAAAAGACTCCTTAGGTTCTACATTAGTGATGATGTAAAACTTTATTGCAAGCACATTACCAGGGATAAGACTGAGAAATAAGAATATGAACCTAGGTTTGTATTCTCTTTCTTTCCTTCCTTCCTTCCTTCCTTCCTTCCTTCCTTCCTTCCTTCCTTCCTTCCTTCCGTCCCTCCCTCCCTCCCTCCCTCCTTCCCTTCCTTCCTTCCTTCCTTCTTTTTTTTTTGGTTTTTTCGAGACAGGGTTTCTCTGTGTAGCCCTGGCTGTCCTGGAACTCACTCTGTAGACCAGACTAGCCTCGAACTCTCAAACTCAGAAATCTGCCTGCCTCTGCCTCCCAAGTGCTGGGATTAAAGGCGTGCACCACCAACGCCCAGCTGTATTCTTTTTCTGCCAAGAGCTTATAAATATATCTCAAATAAACTCAATCAGGAGATCTTAGAAATTTTGTCAGGGCTGGGCGGTCTAAGACACTTAAGACACTAAGACACTAGACCGGTCTAAGACACTTAAATATTCTAAGGGCAACATTAAGCTTAATGCAACATCAAGGCTGAAAGCAGCAACAAGAAGTTAGCTCCCCATCACAAATGAGACAGGAGACCCCTGCTGCCATCTACAGTGGAAGCTTTTTCAAAGGGCAAGAGATTCGGAACGCTTCCTTAATTAGAGAGCAGTTGATTTTCTACTTATGGGAGATGAGATAGGGTCTAATAAAAAGATAAGAAATGACTTTTTACCACAAGATCTTCCAGAGAAGAGCCATCACTGATAACAAGGTCATTAAACTGGTCTTGGATTTGGTCCATAGTTTGTGGGAGATCTCGGGCTGGAATAAACCATTCGTGTTCTTCTTCCTCTTCCAGCATTTCTTGGAAACAGCGTTCAATAAATTCTTCTTCCCACAACTCCTCTTCTATCTAGATTTACAACAAAGGGGCTTAATTACAGCATATGGCTTAAAATATCTTAAACTATGCCATCTGAAATCTTAATGTAAGGGCCAAGTATGGTAGTGCATGCCTTTGTATTGAAGAAAGTTTGAGGCCAGCCAAGGCTACACAGTGAGACTCTGTCTCATCAAAACAGGACCAAATCAAATCATAATGTGCCTGGCTGTGTGGTTTACAACTATCATCTTCACACTTGAAGAATAAGATTAAATGGCTACCACAAGGTTTAGGCCAGCCTGTGACACAGTTTGATGAGTTTGTCTCTCAAATGTTCTCTTAACACCCAGGCACAGCTGTAATCCCAGTACTCTGAAGGCTGAGATATGTGGAGTTCATATCCACACAAACCCTACATGTCAGAGCTGGGAGTGTAACTCATTGTTACAGTACGTTATTATGCAGGAAGCATTGGGTCTGACCTCCTAACACCAAAATGTAAAGGCTAAAAACTTTCCTCCCTGCTTTTATCCTAAACGGGGGTGGGGGGGAGAGAGGGAGGAAGCCCAAAACTACCATAAAGACCTAGCAATATCTGTTTAGGGCTATTCCACATCTTTACTTGTCTCTACAGAATTTTTTTCCACTGAGAATAGCAAAGTAGAAAGTAATGGAATGATCTCTTCAAGGAATTTTTTTAGAATTACCCAGGAAGCCTTAAAATACCCAGGCCTTAATCCAACCTCCATAAAGACTAAAGAAAATCTCAAAGGTAAAGATTAAAAACAGCTCAAAACCCCTCAACTGATTTCAGTATGATGGAGGAGACACGGTCAGCTCTCAAAGCAAAACAAAGAAACACACACATACCCCTTTTAAAGGGGTTGAAGAGGGGCTGGAGAGATGGCTCAGTGGTTAAAAGCACTGACTGCATCTCCAGAGGTCCTGAGTTCAAATCCCAGCAACCACATGGTGGCTCACAACCATCTGTAATGAGATCTGATGCCCTCTTCTGGTGTGTCTGAAGACAGCTACAATATATTCATATATAATAAATAAATCTTTAAAAAAAATAAAAAATAAAGGGGTTGAAGAAGGGTTCAATGGTAAAGAGTGCTTGCTGTTCATGCAGAGTACCAAAGTCTGGTTCCCATACCCACACTGCACAGCTCATGATTGCCTCTATTCCAGCTCTAGGTGATCCAATGCCCTCTACTGACCTCTGCAGGGACTTGTACACACATACATAAATAGTAAAAATAATCTAAAACCCCGGCCTAATGGCTCATGCATTTTAATTCTAGCACTTGGGAGGTAGAGGCAGAGACTGACAGGTGGCTCTTCATGTGTCCTAGGCCAGCCCAGTCTATATAATGAATTCTAGCCAGCCAAGGCTAAAGGGTGAGATACCCTGCCTTAAAAATAAACAAAGCAGCCTTTTCTAATGTAATAACAACCTCTCCCCTCAAAAGACCCTGCCCTCAATTGACTCTCACTTAAACAGACTGAACTGTTTTACTCTGGAATGTCCATGACAAGATGCAGAGAAATTGAGCTGACTGCAGGAACCAAGATCAGGATTGGGAATGACAAAATAATAGACAGTAGAAACATGAGAATGACATCTATCAATTTATCAGAGCTCTCTAAAGAGAGGCAGTAGTAGATTCTTCAGGCAGATTAAGATTGAGGCTCAAGTGAAAAGCAGATAATTTTGAACCAGGATAATCTGTGGTCTGTCTGTTCCAGTTTTCTAAATACTTTTTGGATTTGCACTGTAATAGAGACGTGACTGCTTTGAGACAGTAGTTTCCAAACTGAAACTATCCGGGAGCTCTTTTCAGTTTCCCAGGCGCCACCCTATTCTTCTGAATCAATCTTTAGGGTGGGACCCTGAAACAAGCTGCCCAAGTAATTTCAATGAGCACTTTAGTCTGGCAGTAATTGGCAGCCAAATAAAATAGGAGTGGTAGCACATAAATCCTTAGTGCACATAAGGACTAGACACACAAGAGTTCAGTGCCAAGCACATATTTGAGATATGAAGCTATGAAAAGAAACATGTCTGTATACAGAACTAACTTGTCTGTTGAATTCCTCTTCATTTTCCATCCACATGTACTCTGCAAATGGATTATCCTCTTCATGAGAATGACCGTTAATAATCACATCGTCATTGATGATGCTTGGGCTAGTACTGCTGCGACTTGGATCTTTCATGGTTGGTGTTCGTGGTCGTTTTTAACCTTTAAAGTAGAATACAATCTTAATGAGCACACTTTTTGTTACCCATCAAGGTATTAGAGGCACATGCTTCATTAGTTGGAAAGCTTCTCTTTTTTTCCAAAATGACTTTAAGAAATAGCTGAGGGCTAGGTTTGAGGTATAGATGTACAACAATTTTAGTGTTTGTGTGAGGACACAGACATGTAAGAGAGACAGAGGTCTGGTGTCACCTCCTTGTTTAAAAAGGTTTTTTTGTGTGTGTGTCAGTACTCAGAAGCAGAGGCAGGTGGATGGATATCTGTGAGTTCTGGGCCAGCCTGGCCTACATATGATGTTCGAGCACAGGTAGTGCAACATAGTGTGACCCGGTCTCAACAGAAAGTATGATATATGCTATGTTTGAGATATAGACATATGTACATGTCACAGGATGTGTGTGGAAACTAGTAGACAATCTATCAAAGTTGGTGCTTTCTTTGCACTATGAGTCACACTCAGTAAGGTTTGCAGCAAATGCCCTCATCTACTGAGTCATCTTCTTGGCTCCCACATTAAAAATAATTTCATTTTTGTTTTTTTGAGACACAGTATCACTATATAGTTCTGGCTGCCCTGGAACTATGTAGTCCAGGCTATCCTCAAACATAAGAGATCCACCTGCCTCTGCCTCCAAGTGTTGAGATTAAAGGTGTGTGCCACCATATCCAGCCAGAAAATTCTTTTTTTTGGGGGGTGGGGGGAGGGTTTCGAGACAGGGTTTCTCTGTGTAGCCCTGGCTGTCCTGGAACTCACTCTGTAGACCAGGCTGTCCTCAAACTCAGAAATCCATCTGCCTCTGCCTCCCAAGTGCCTCAGAAAATTCTTTAAAACAGTTATGTTCCAGAACTAAAACTAAAAAAATAATTCTTGAAAATTTATGTTTGAAAGTCTGGTGGTAGGGGTGCATGGTTTTAATCCCAGCACTTGGGAGGCAGAAGTAGGCAGATCTCTGAATTCGAAGCTAGCCTGGTCTACAGAGTGTTTCAGGACAGCCAGGGCTACACAGAGAAACCTTTTGGGGGTGGGGGGAGAAAAAAAAAGACAACCCATTTTTTTGTTTGTTTTTCGAGACAGGGTTTCTTGTATAGCCCTGGATGTCCTGGAACTCACTCTGTAGACCAGGCTGGCCTTGAACTCAGAAATCCATCTGCCTTTGCCTCCAAAGTACTGGGATTAAAGGCTTGCGCCACCACTGCCCGGCGACAACCCAATTTTTAAAATAGGCAAAGAAGGGCT